CATCACCTCAATTTCACAAAATTAAACTAAATTTTACCTAAACTCACAATAAACAACAAATTTACGAACACAATTTTAACTAAAATTACACGGCCATTTTTTTCACCAAAAAGTAGTGCAATTGTTACCCAATTTCAAGTCAATTTCATCTCATATTCACACAATTTTAAGTAAATTTCACCAAAAATGCACTCAATTTCACACAAAGAAATTCAATTTCACCAAAAAAATAAATTAAACAAAAATAACATCACCTCAAAGAGGAAGAGGAGGTCGGCGCCGGAAGAGAGACGGCTGGCGCCGCTGGTGAGGCCAAAGCGGATGGCGATGCTGGCGTCGCTGGAGAGGTCGCGCGGCTGGGCGGGACGATAGGTGGAGGGTCCGGCGTGGCTGGCGAGGATGCTCGTCGGCGGAGAGGTGGGGGACCGTCGTTGAAGGCTGGCGGAGGGGGTGGCAGTCGCAGGACGGCGGAGGGGGAGAGAGAATCGGGATAGGGTTCAAGTGAAGAACGAATGGCTGGAAAATTTTGACTCTCGTTTTTTACTTTAAACCTGCGACGGATCTGCGACGGGGGTAAGGTTCCGTCGCAGATTTTAAGGTCAAATTTTGACCACCTTATATTTGTGACGGTACCCAATAAACCGTCGCTTATTTGCGACGGAAAATATACATCCGTCGCAGATTATGTTTTTTTTTCGAGGTATACAATTCCGTCGCGGATTCGTTGCAGATCTGCTACGAATTTATTTCCGTAGCAGATATCCGTTGCAGTCCAGACAAATTCTTGTATTGTGAAAATAGGCTCAATTCGAGGCAAATTTGTGGGGGTTTCTGAGCGACATGGGATGCTTATTCAAGTTTTTAAGTTGGATTTCCATTCCAATTGAAGAATCCTTTGATTTGAGCCAAAACTTGGATTCGAGTCACTGTTCATAACGGGGATTTGCAGCCCAGGTTTAACCATGGTCCTCTCCTCCTTTTGCCTCCATTTTTGGGTAATGTGGTCGTGATTCAGGGGCCTTCCATTAACTTGTGTTGGATTCTTGATTCAATAAACTTGTTTTGGCCTCCTTGATTTTGCTCTTCGTGGCACTGTTCATTTTCTGGGTTTACCTGTGCTACTGTATTTAGGACGGTTTGGGCCTTGTTGCTTGTGCTATTCTTTCTCTGTAGCTTAAGGGTAGCTTGAAGATGAATTTGTTTGCTTGCATTTGTGGTTATTGGCTCATTTGACAGTGGCATTGTGCATTGTCCAAGTATGTGTCATCTTCTTCACTGTGTTGTGAATGCTGCCCAGGTTTCCTACCTCGTGTGTGTGTTCCATCTCAATTTGTTAATAGAAATGTAACAGACTTTACGGGGTGCAGTTTCTTCGAAACGTGTCAGATTTTTTGGGACGGAAGGAGTATGTCATTTTCTAACGTAACACTTAAACTTTTTAATTTTCTAAATAGCACTTGAATAATGTTTAGTCGCAAGAATAATGTCAAATGATAATGAACATTTAGTTTAAACAGTGTGCAGTGGAATTGGATATTTACTTGAACAATGACCAGTGAAAATTGAACAATAGTATCACATTAATAACTAAAAACATATGGTACTACATTGGAAAAGTCACTATATTTTAGTATTATATAGATAAATTCTCCATAATTTTATTCATTATTGAATATTAAGGCAATCTGAATCTGTTTTTCTTTTGTCTCGTTCCTAAAAAATATGGGATGCATATGCTTGTTGTCCAAATGATCCCGAACAATTTGAATATAATCCAACAAAATACAAGAAAATATAAAACATGAAACATCCTGACCTGTGCCTACCCTACTCATTGGCAAATAAATACCCCGGAGTATTTATTTTGAGTTTCTCGTATTTACCTTAAAAAACCATGTCCTTTTGTTTTTTCTTTTTAAATCTCTGTTCTCTTTAATTAATTTTATATTTAATAAATGTTAAAACCTTCCACCCTTGCTACCAACCATACCTCCTCCTACATAAATATGTGGTAGGGAGGCAAGAAAATTAAAATTAGAAGGTGGGTGGAAAATGTGTAGAGGTAAATATGTGGTGAAGAAGTGAGTGGAGACAAGGTTGATAGCAAGAGTGGGAGGTGTGTAGCACTGTGCTTAATATAATTTGAATCACATAATTTAAAATTTCACAAAAAAATATTTAGAACTAAATTAGAAATTTTAAAATATGAGGGGGCGAGAATTACAATTTACCACCCACGTTCTCACCCGGACACAAGTTCCGTATTCCTTTCTTGCTGTCACAAACTACAATTACTCTACCACTACTCCCTCAACTCCTCTCTCTTTCACACAGTTCCAGCAAATGAAAGGTTGAAAATTTGGCGTCTTTGTCTTCTTGCTTTCCCTGACTAAAAGTTCCAAACTCCAATTTTTTATTATCAAGAACTCAGAAATCTTCAGATGTAAAGAAGATGAACGAGAACCCAAACCCGAAACCCAAGAATCCACTCACCCACTTCGATTTCTTGAAGAAATTCAAGCGGTTCAAGTCTCTGGACGCCTCCTCTTCGGGTGTTCTTGCCTGTTTCATCGTAACCCTCTGCTTCCTCTGCTCTCTCTTCTTGCTAGACTACAGAACCGTCACCGGCGGGATCCGGTTTCGCGGGCCCACCTGGCCGCTCGCCGCCGTTAATGGATCTTCATTGCTCTCTGGCGACGTGGATCGGAAACCGGTGGGGTTTCTTGAAGAAGGCGGGGATGGGTGTGATATCTTTGAGGGGAGTTGGGTTTGGGATGAGAGCTACCCATTGTACCAGTCCCAAGACTGCTTGTTCTTGGATGTTGGGTTTCGCTGTACTGAGAATGGAAGGCCTGATTCTTTCTACACCAAATGGCGCTGGCAACCTAAAGATTGCAACTTGCCCAGGTTTTTTTTTTGCTTTCTTTCTCTGCTTTACTTCAATTTATGTTGCAGAGAATGATGGGTTTTGCTTGATTTTGGTTAATTAGGATTATTGGTAATGATGGGGTTTTCTGTAATTTTGCTTCAATTGCTATTATTTTTTCAGAAGTTCTATTCTGGTGAATATATTGATGTAAAGTTTTGGTTTTTGAACTATGGTAATTGCATAAATGAACTCTGAGTGGTAATACACAGTTACACAAGCACACACACAATGTATGTATCCATTTGACTCTATTTTTTGGGTAAGCATTAATTTAAAGTAATGGGATGTTCTTCAAACACAGTGAGTTCTAAAGGTATGAATTTTATGAATGGGTTTTCCCCATCTATTGTTTAGTTCAGTGTTGAAATTATGAATGATGAATGATAGTAATTGTTTTTGGTTTGGATAAAATATCTTGTTTTATTGAATATGTGATGTATTTAGGTTTTTTTTCCCTCTCGGACTGAATCTGTGAGTTTGATCATCCAATCTGAATCCACATATTGGGATTTTCCCAAATCTGAATTTCATGGATCCAATGGCCGATAAATCCCTAATCAAGAATTCCCATATTTATGAATAATCCAAGAATTCCAAATTCTACACAGATTTGATGCAAAAACCATGTTGGAAAAGCTGAGAAACAGAAGGGTTGCATTTGTTGGGGACTCAATTGGAAGAAACCAGTGGGAGTCTCTTCTTTGCATGCTCTCATCTGCAGTTGCCAACAAAAGTTCAATATACGAAGTCAACAGAGCTCCGATCACCAAACATTCCGGTTCCCTGATTTTCAAGTTCGAGGATTTCAACTGCACCGTTGAATATTACAGAGCTCCCTTTCTGGTGTTGCAAAGCCGCGCGCCTGCAGGCTCTCCGAGAGGGGTAAAAATGACTTTGAAGCTGGATCAAATGGATTGGAGCTCTGGTAAGTGGAAAGGTGCAGACTTGCTTGTCTTCAACACTGGTCATTGGTGGAATCATGAGAAGACTACTAGAGGGTAAATTTTTAATTGATTTTTTTAATTCAAAAATATTATATCAATGCCCTTATGGTCATTTAACTATTTCTCCAAACATCCATTTCTTTAACTGTTGTAACCATTCCAAAGCTGAACATTTCATTCACTTGACAGAGGAACCTATTTTCAAGAAGGTAAAGAGATAAAGATGAATATGAGTGTAGAAGAGGCGCTTCATAGATCAATTGTGACGTTGGTTGACTGGTTAGGACGCGAAGTAAATACGTCAAAGACTCGTGTCTTCTTCCGCAGCTACGCGCCTGTTCATTTCAGGTTCTTCCTCATTCATCTTTCTGGTTTGCATTTCCCTAAAAGTTCAATAAATCACTATTTTGAGCTAGGATTACTTGCCAAGAGGGGGGATATGGTAAATTGTTAATAACCATATTTGGTAATGGTAGAGTTTTGTGCAATTTTCTCCACTTTTCATTTCATATGCTTGAAAGAGTTGTTTGTATTGTCACTGGAACTAACTCAACCAAAAGCTAAGTATTTGATATTTCCATTTCCTAACTGAAAAAATACCATCTTTTGATTGGACGAGCGAGCAGAGGCGGGGACTGGAAAACTGGCGGGAGCTGCCACCGGGAGACTCTCCCGGACCTCGGATCCTCTCAAATGTTGGGGTCCACGGAATTCGACGCGGTGATCAACGTTCTCTCGCGGCGACAGCATAATGTGGAGCTATTGAACGTGACAATGATGACGTGGCAGAGGAAAGACGCGCACTTGTCTTTGTATTATTTGGGCCCCACCGGACTGGCGCCTCTCCACCGCCAGGACTGCAGCCACTGGTGCCTCCCCGGTGTCCCGGATTCTTGGAACCAGCTTCTCTATGCCATCTTTCTGAAGCGGGACCGCCTCAACCGTTCCCGGGTTTCTGTCCCCTTCTAGCATGATTGGTGGGTCCTGTCTAATGCATAGACGGAAAACATTAATCCGTCTAATGCCATAGACAGGAAAACATTGATTTGTCAAATGAACCGAAAAAAAAAGGTTCATTTGACAACATAATTTAGGCCCCGTTTGGTACACGGAATTCAAACTATGGAATTGGAATTGAGGACTTCAATTCCAATTTTGGTGTTTGGTAGCACAAAAATTATGTGGATTTAGAATTGATAGTGCAAAAAATGAATTGGAATTGACAAAATTCAATTCTATGGAATTGAATCTCATGGAATCTCAATTCCAATTCAATTCCAATTCCATCAATTCCGTATACCAAACGGACCCTTAGATTTTATTTTTCCTTCTTTGGAATAGTTTGTTGTAGATCAAAGCTTCTGGGAATGTAACACTTGTGAAATGTAACAAAAAACCTGTGTATAAGCTACATGTTTTTACTGTAAACATGTTTTTTCTACAACAGTAAAAACCAACCATACTGGAGTGTAAAAACACTTGTTGTATTGTTTTCAAAAGTAATCAATTGCCTGACAAATATTCCGTCCGTCCCATAAATTCCTTTTCCTTCATTTTTTTGTCCTACAAAATTTTTCTCATTTTTATTAAAAAGCCACTTTGGTTATACTAATTCTTATCATATACATCACATCATATTTTTTATTAGCAATCTATCCATTATATTTTATTTTTAGTCATCCAGCAAGAGTATTTTTGGAAAGTTAATACAAAAATATATTTTCCTAAATTCTCTTGAAAGTCGAAATAAGAAGAATTTTAAGGGACGGAGGAAGTATATTTTAAACATACTGAGTACTTTTTTATCACTAATAAACTAGTTGCTCACAAAATAGGATGAGATTAATTCAATAGTGATTTCATGCATATAGATGTCATTACAAAAATATAAAATAAATATTCAATACACTTTATATATTATAAAACCTCCATAAAATCACTACACATGCCACTTCAGGAGTAGGAATAAAAAAAAAAGCTAGGGACACCTCTACTCTCTTGATGTGCCATTATGGTAATTAACAATAATTATACATAAATGCCTATATTATTTAATCTTTTTTTTAATGGCCGGTGATTAATTACATACCCTTTAATTATATATATTCATGAAACCAAATCAAATAATCAGCACATTTCAACCTCCAACTTGTGCTTATGAAACCCAGCAATGTCTCCAAGCTTTTCCACCATAGCCACTAAGCCTTCAACCTTGTCAATCATCTCATTCAAGAGGAACACAAAGGTGGCCATCCCCATATCTGTAGGGCTATCAGAGCTCATGATCATCACTGCATTGAGGTTGTCTTGTTTCATGCACTGTAGTTTAGGGCTTATTGTGCCCTTAACTCTGCACCCTTTCATCCCCTTTATCCCCTCCCCCAGCTCCCTCAGTATGCACGCTACCGATACCCCCGCGATTTCGCACGCCTCTTTGATTATTCCTCGCTCTGCTGGCAATGGCTGATCCCGGGAAAAAATTGTTTAAATAACAAAAAAAATATTTGTTCAAATGTTTTTTTTTCAAAATAATAACAATTAGGGTTTAGGTTAAGATTATTTACCTGTGAAGATGATTGAATGCAACCTTTTAGGGAAATGACAATGGCAGCAAGCTCTCTTAGGGCTTCTCCAATCTCCATGTATTTATCCCATGGATATGAGAACCCAAATTTCCCATGCCATGGTTCCCATTTCGCAAAATTTGCCTGCAACAATAAATGTAATTTGATTAATTCATAATAATGATCATTATTTATTACGAAGTAGTGTTCAAAATTTAATATTGCAGAAGTTACAATCCAAACACTTCATCCACGTTGTGATATTCAATTCATTCATTTTGACTTTTTAGGAGTCGAATTAGACAAAGTTTCATCATTAATTACATGACAATTGTGTCACGTATTATTAGTACAATGAAAAAAAATTGGAAGTTTTTTTTCAAAATTTAATCATTAATTACATTTTGCTCTTGGGTTACTTAGTGAATCTCGACTTTAATTAATATATGCAAAGTGATGGATTTTATCCACTCACCGTGGGATTCTTACTACATACGCAACAGAATTTCAACAAAATTATATATTAAAAAAAAGAATAGCAAAGAAATTAAATTTGTAGTATAATTTGGGGGCATACACACCAAAGATTCATCGGGTGATTTGGAATGCAATACAGATTTGCAGGCACTGACATTAGCGGCGCCCTTCCCCTCCCTTTCCTTCTCATCTGAAATTTTGAAGTACTCCACCAAGCACCCTATATATTTATATATATCAATTGTATGTATACATAAGTAAATTTTTTAAGGACCCAGGAAATATTATACTTCCTCTGTCCCACAAAAAAGTTCTCATTTTGACCATATAATTGGTCAAACAATTACATGTTTTGACCATAAATTAAATATAATCTAAATAAAGAAATGCTAAAAAAATTTGAGATATCAAAACTAGATCCTAAGATGAATCCAATTATATTAAATTTATTTTATAATTCAATATACATTTCTCACAATTTGTAGTCAAAGCGTGTAAATATTTGACTAAATACTATTCAAAATGGGAACTTTTTTGTGGGACGGAGGGAGTATTATACTATTTTCCGTCCTAAAATCCTTTCTGTTCGAAAAAAAGTATACTCTTTAACCCTTAAAATAAAATGAGTAATTTTGGTATTATTTTCTAATTTTATTAATTAAAAAATAACATCAAAAAATTATTCATTATACTTAGGTTTCCCTGTATATACCTTCAAGAGAAGAAGCAATGTGTTGAAAGTTGGCGGCGGTGGAGGAGTGGAGCTGGTCACTAGCCCACTCCGGGAAGATGAGCAAGCTGGTGAATATGCACACCGCGAACCCCATTCCGATCGTCGACAACCGCTCCCGGGCCAGTCTCAGCACGCTCTCCGCCCGCACCCCCGACACCACCACCAGGTTAAACGTCAGTATGAAAATCATCACCCCGTAGTCGAATTTCCTCTTCACCCTCGGCACCATTCTCACGTACGTCGCACCCCCGCCTGCGGTTAATTAATCGTTTCGTTTCAATGTTTCACAATAATAGTACGTACCGAATGATTCTGCCTTGATCAATTAATTAATTAATTCTGATGTGCCTATCTCTCATGCATTCTCACCAACGATGAACACGGATATGGCGACGACGAAAGTACTGTGCAAGCCTCCGAGTTTATGGGCTACCAGCGCAGCCAAACATCCTAATAACCCGCCGAGTATGGTCCCGATCCCTCGGTTTATCCCCTTGCTTATTGTTGCCCCTGATGATTCATTAACATGACATTAATTCAATGTAACTGATGATTAAAGTTCATCTAAGCTAATTTTTAAAAAAATCAAGTACTCCCTCCGTTCCACAAAACCCTTCCGGTTTTGACTTTGGAGAAAAATAAGGAAAGTGTAATTTTGGTTGATTTTCCAATTTTGCTCCTGATGTGATGGGAAAAAGTAAGATGTGATAGTTTGGTTATTAGTGAAAAAGTATGATGTGATAGGTAGGGTATGAAAAAGTATGGGTAAAAGTGATTTTTTAATAGAAAGTGGAAGTGTTTTGTGGAAAGCAAAAAAAAACGAAAGAGGAAGAGTTTTGTGGAACGGAGGGAGTAATATATACGAACAAATACTCTGGAACGTAGTAAGCCTAGCTCGTTACCTGCGTAAAATTCGAAAACGACGACGACGGTCATGATGGCCCACATGGCATTTTGTCCGACCTGATTGAAGAGAGGATCCAAGACATAGAGAAGGGAGACCAGAACCAGAGCCGCCCCTACCTTCATGCTGTGCACCGCTTTCTTCTTGTCCAACTCACACCATTTCTTCATCTTTATCCTCATGATAAAATCATTTTTCTTACTCTTATTATTATTATTATTATTATTATTATTATTATTATTATTATTATTATTATTATTATTATTATTATTATTATTACCATCAATATTGATCTTATCACCACCATTAGCCCCCTTCTCTTGATGCTGCGGCGGCAGCGGCGGCGTATCATAGACGCCTGGCGCCGCAGCAGCGGGATGAGTTCTCTCGTCTTCTTCGTCGTCTGGTATGGAAACCACCGCGGAAGACGACGATGACCTCATCATTTTCTTGCTCTTCTCCGACGTCTGGCCGGGTGGGTTAGGTTTAGTTTCTTGACTCGGTCAGCTCGGAGCTAGGAATTAAGCTAGCTAGGAATGAAGAGATGAGATTATATATGGTGGGAGTTGTTGATGTGTTGCGAGTTATATTTATAGACGTCCAATGTATGTATATTACGGAGTAGTATATATAAGTGCATGAAGTGACATGCATGCAATGGTGGGTTTACTATACGTAATACGTGGAATGGAGATGTCAAATGCATTACATCAAATAATACGGAGTGGAGGAATTTAATGTAAGTGAAGTGTATTTTGGTATTGAATTTCTAAAAATGTCCTTTGATGTGATGGGTAAAAGTATGATTTGATGGATAGATTATTAATAGAAAGGTATTATGTGATAGGTAGGGTATGAAAAAGTAAAGGGTAAAAGTGACTTTTTAATAGAAATGAGAAGTGTTTTTTGGGACGAATTAAAAAAGAAAGGAGAAAGGTTTTGTGGGACGGAGGGAGTACAATATAATAAGGAGAGGAGGAATTTACTTAAATAGCACTAAAACATACTCCCTCCGTCCCAAAAAGTCTTTCCTGTTTCATTTTTTGCGCATCCCATGAAACACTTCTATCCCGTCTTGATTGCCAAAAAAACTTTCAAAATAACTTCTACCAATAATAAAGAAGAAATTTTAGGCATTTTAGATGTCGTTAGAAGTGTTTTATGGGATGCAGAAAAAATGAAACAGGAAAGACTTTTTGGGACGGAAGGAGTAATGAATTTTTCTAAATAGCATCACATATGTTTTTCTTTCTAATATAGCACTTTTAGTCATTATGCATTAGTCATTATTCAAGTAAATATTTGCCATCACAGGACATTATGGACATTATTAAGTGCTATTTAGGGCTTAAAACAATTTAGGTGCTATTTAGGGAAATGACTTAATTTTAGTGCTATTTAGTGCAAGTATTTCTACGGTGTATTTATTTAATTGATTATCGAAGTTTGTTCAACTTGATCATAAAATAAAATATCAAGTTAAACAACTACATTGCTTTTAAAAGAATCATTAAATTGATAATAATATGAAGAGATATTATAGTGTAATAGAGTCAATATCATTAAGAAAAAAAGGAATCATAAAATTAATTTTTATCTTTTCAATATACAGAGTACTTTTAAAATTTGAATGTGAAAGGGGTAACGTTTTTTTTTTTAATTTTTTGGAGAGGAGAAGAATAACATATGTTGTGGGTTTACTTAATTATTTTTGTGTCATCACCGCATTGTCATGTCATTGATGCGTCGCAGGTGGTATAATTTGGTACGTATCGTGTTTTGTATAGTAGTAGCTAATTTAATGGGACGGTGCATATATAATGGGATCCGATTATTAATTTATACTCCCTGTTAGCATACTTTTTTTTAGTATAAGACTTTGAGATTAATATCTATATTTCTATATAATTATATATTATAAAAATTTAATATTTGTCCATCATATATCCCAAGAACCCAACAAATTTGAATATTCAATAATATTTGTGTGTGTGATATATATCCTCATGATCGTTGCGTTATTACAAGATACGCATTCCCTCCCTCCCTCCACAAATATCAATATAATAAGAGCTCAACGTCTAAGGGTCTGTTTTCGAATAGCGTTAGAGATTAGGGTTAGCGTTTTGAAAAGACTATCTACGAGCAGCGTTTAGCGTTAGCGCTTTCAAAGCAATCTGTATCTTTAAAATTTTATCCAAAACTCTAATTTCTAACGTTATTTCCAAACAGACCCAATGCGCTAAGGCAATATGAAAAGTGGAATTGTACTTTCTATATATTTCCTACATAACATAGAATTGTTTATACATTAAATTAAGCAATGGGGTATAGGACGGGAAGAGCTGTGATGTAGAGAACGGGACACAAACGTCACCAATTATGAGAAAGTCAAAGACGTAAGCGTGCACTAATTATGCACTCTTATACGTACGTACACGTAGTAACATATATATAAGCGTGTGTAAGTTTCAATTATTATTTTTCCCATTTGTTTCGAAAAAGAAAAAAAAGAGCACAATATACACATATGGGTAGTCATTCGTTTTATGATGATGATAAGTGAGTGGGGATTAAACTTGTGGTTGCATACATACTTAGACTGCACCAATAGACATTATGTCTGCCATAATTTAAATATGTACACACATATATGAAGCTTATTACACGAGGGTCCCCTCTATTTACTGCAAAAAAAAAAAATTACTCCCTCCGTCACTAAATTAACTTCCTTTTTCGTTTTCTCTTTGTCACTAAATAAACTTCTCTTTTCCCTTAAAAAACCCTTTTTACCCCTTACTTTTTCATACCCTACCTATCACATCATACTTTTTTACTAATAATCTACCTATCACATCTTACTTTTACACATCACATCAAGGATATTTTTGGAAAGTCAACACAAAAATATCTCTCCCTCAAATCCTCAAAAAGTCAAAAATGGAAGTTTATTTAGGGACGGAGGGAGTATTTAATTAATTTTTACTGAATTTAAAAAATATTGAAAATTGAAAAAGTTATTTTTAAAATGTATTTAGATGGAATTGAAGAAAGAGTTTGCGAGTCAAAAAGTCATTCATTTCTTTAGTCAAAAGAGAAAAGATAAAATTTTGCTTTGCGATAAAACAAAATGAAATAATTTATGGGATAGATGGAGTACTACTCTATGTCCAAAAAACATTTGCTAGATGTATTCATTTTGACATCTTTGGAATTCTACTTGCAGCGGTTATTTTTGTTTTATCTTGGTCAAATTCCCACATTTTTCGTCACAAAAATCAAAATATAAAATATTTTATAAGACGGGAAATATTTATTAAACACAGTACATTAAAGTACGTACTTGTGTTGCATTTTTGTTTGTACGAAATAGACCAAAGCTTGAATTGACTAGTAAAAGGTTGATATACATAGTGAGATATATGAGTGACATTATCTGGAGAGCTAAAGATGGAGCTTACACCCACCAACTAGACCAGTATCACTATATTAATAATCCCTTTTTCGTGTTTAGAACTTCCAAAATTAATTTTTTTTCTTTTATAAAACTCTGTTTTATTTTTTTTACCAACTACTGAAATTAAAATTGAATAAAAGCACTAAATGTCAACAGGAATGAGACACAGAAATGTCAAATAATAAAGAGTTGAATTGCAATGAAAGTACGTAGTGGAGCACTAACTGGTTCTGGTTCAGTTCCAAACCCGACCGGCCGGTCTCACATGCACCCTACCATTGCCCCCATATTCTTGGCGCATTCTTAGTTTTACTCTCTCAATTTATGTCTATATTCATACTTTTTTTTATAAATTTATATTACATCTATCCTGAAGTATTGGTCTAGTTTTGACTTTTTTTCTGTCAATTATTTTTAACATTTGACCTATAATTAAATAAAACATATACTGTATATTAATTAAATAAAATAACAATTCATATAATAAATCTAATAAAATTATTTCCTATCAATATCTAATACGGAGTACCATTTTTATTCAATTTGGGGTCAACACGTACCAATATTGACGAAAAAAGTAAAAAATGGACAAAAATTTCGGGACAAAAGAAATATTTTGTGACAATGTGTGTCATTATAATTAGAGTGTCCTTACAAACCCTTGGGACACATTAAATAGCATATAAGTAGATTTTTCTAATTGGGGCATGCTAGGAAGTAGGAACCCATCGTCAAAACTATCACATATGATAATAACAGATAATTTGTATAAACAAACTAAGAGACGATAAATAGATCTACTTACAAATGATTATCGTCTATGAATCATAAACTTATTATGGTTATCATCCGTGGAGGTACATGTGACGGGTTCATAGCATTTTTGTTTGTAATTTGTTAATATATATGGGCGACAAAACATTGTGAATCATATTGCCTGCATGCCGTGCGTGCGCATTAGCTTGTTCAGACGTAATTTTGGAAACCTAGCCATGACCTATTTGTAGTACTATGAAATGTGCAATTAAATCATTGGAAATGTTAATTAATTAATACCGCACAAAAAAGATTGATTAATTAGGAGTTTATAACTTGGTGCATGCGCTAATTGTGTCGTTTCATGTCTACTTTGCCACTACCAAATGTACCTTACCTCTTTACTTTCTTGTCTTCTTTTAATTTGTCCACCCAACTTTTCCATTTTGTCATCGGATTAGGCTGCGTTCTGTTCGTCTGATCTGATCCGGTTTGGTCTGAATAGATATGATCTGTTTATAGTTATAACTAAAGTTGTTTTTTATCTGATCTAGTCAGATATGATCTGATCCGGTCTGATCTGATATAATTATAATAAGAATAAGTAATAAGCAGAAAAAATAAATTAAACAATTTTTCACTCAATTTTAATGCATGTATTTAATTTTTTTTATTTATTAATCATTTTGTCCATGTGCAAAGTTAAATTCAGACTATCCTTAGGGGCATTGTGGGATAGTCTTAGATTCATGATGAAAGTAATCTCCTTTTCATCATCTTTGATAAGTTAAAATAACAAAGTTTAATTTTTTCTAACAAACACCCTGAAACACGTACTACAAATTTATTCTTTGTTTTCTTAAATCCCTTTCTCTTTCTTTTTTTAAATTTTTTTTCCAAAACACTTTCACTTTTGATTAGAAAATTATTTTTACATCGACTTCTTTATCCTACCTTTCACTTTCTTAAAACGTGTTCTCTTTATCCTACCTATCACATCATACTTTTTCAATAATAGTCTATCCATCACATCCATTTTTATATTTTTAATGTGATATTTACCATTTATATTTACAAGTATAAGCAAATAAATTTTATGAAATTTAAATTTATCAAAATTATACTCCCTCCGTCCCAAAAAAATTGTTACGTTTCATTTCTTTGAGCATCACAAAAAGCAATGCTACTCACATCTAAAAATTCTAAAATTTACCATATTTACTCTTTATTACGGAGTATAAGATGAAATTGTTTTGAAAGTTTTTTTGGCATTTGAGACGATATAAACATATTTTAAGGGATGCGCAAAAAATGAAATGTAACGATCTTTTTGGGACGGAGGGAGTA